CCATTGCATTAAGCAATGTTATTGGAGCTTCAATTTCAAAGTTTTCTGAAATACTGGAATATTATATTACACTTTATTTACAATTTTGAATTCCACATCTATATAAAGAAATAAGTGGCTCTTACACATTTAGTGCCATGTATAATCAGTTTGATTCCAGCACTGATATCACCACAGTTTTTACTTATCCGTGATAGATGGTTATTATCATTTTTAGGAAAAATAATACTTTTTTGTTTTTAAAGGTAAGGTTGTTCTTGTTATCATCCTGAGGTGCATATATACTCTGTTCCCATTGGCTAATCAGTTTTTCATCTGGCAATATCTTTCTCAGGTGTTCCTGTACCAGGGAGAGCTGCACATATTACCCAACCGCACACGTTCTGGAGAGGTTGGCTGGCCCAGAGACTCAGTGCCCACTGTGGAGCGGGCTCTAGAGGTGCTGCATTCACACACTGAGAGCTGTTTAGCCAAACAGCCCATACGCGCCGCTCTGGCCAAGAGGCTGGATGGGTGAGAATGACATTATTGTTTAAAATAAGTCATTACATTGTTTCTGTTTTAGCACTGTATCTTTATTTTAGGTTTTACTCAGTCATTTGTGTATGTTTGTAGGTATCCAGATAAAATCCAGCAGAATTTCCACCATGCCCACTGTTATGTGCCTGCGGGCATTGCTGTGGTGTTGTCTAGGAGGCCTGACCTTATAGCCCCTGCTGTGTCTGCTTTCTATCTGCGTGACCCTGTTGACCTCCAGGCCTGCCGAACTTTCCACACGTTTCCTCCTGACACTAGAGTTATGACATCAGTAAGAAGCAGTCTAAATTTTGTTCTGAATTTATCTTTATAAGGGAAAGTACTTGCCGAATTCGGTCACATACACTACCAATCAAAAGTTTGGGGTCAGTGAAATTCTTACAGAGCTCAAACTTTTGAACAGTAGTTTAACCTGATGTAAGTTTTGAAAACTTCTCCAGTAATTACAAACCTGTTCCCTTCCTCCTTTCCTGAAGGTAAAGTTTACTCGCTGCTTGTGCGCACAGCTGCAACAACAGAATTTTGTTCCAGATCGGCGGAGTGGTTTCACGCTTCCTGTCCACTCTCATCCCCAGTACAGAGCTCACGAGCTGGGAATGAAACTGGTGGGTTCATGGCATGCGGTATCTTGTTCTCCAGTCATGTATAGAGAAAGCTATTAAAATGCAGTTTTTCTCTTACAGAGATGAGCATCTGTTTCTCTAAGTATTTTAGCATTGGATTGTTTTAATATGCTCAGAAATATGATTTTTCACGTAAAACATTTTGTAAGTATAGTACAGTATTCTATTTTCTGTTCATGTCTAAGGCCCATGGCTTTGAAATCCTGTGCTCCAAGAGTGGACAGTCCTCATCAGAGAAAGAGGCTTCAGTCAGCAGTAACCCACTATGGAGAGGCTTTTTAGATAATCTCAAAAAGAATGGATACTTTAAGGTAGGAAAGAGTTTCTGTGTTCAAAATACTCAAGTGAAGCAGATGATGCAAAGATTCCTTTACCTGAGAGAAACAAATTTAATGAAACATAAACACCTCATTCGTTAAATCTGTGTGTGTATTTTTGTGAACCCAGGGTGAACTGGAAGGATCTGTTCGATACAAAGACCTAATGTCATCAGCAGAGAGTTTCTTCAGACAGTCTGTAACCAGCACTCACTGGTGAGAGTGACTCGTCATTGTCCCAGTTCAAAATCAAGTTTATTTAAAGGGGTCATATGATGTTTTTTTAAAGATCATTATTTGGTGTATTTGGTAACAGAATATGTTGACATGCTTTAATGTTCAAAAAACACATTATTTTTCAAATACTGTACATTATTGTAAGACCTCTCTCAAACGCTTCATTTTCTACAAAGTCCCTCCTTCCGACAAGTGCAGTCTGCTCTGATTGGCCAGCTGACCCAGTGCATTGTGATTGGCCGAACACCGCAAGCACTCATCGGAAATGTAACGCCCCTTACCATAATCACGAGCTTCATCTTTCAAAATAAATGTAAAGACAGAGCCCGAAAGGGGAACAGAGTCTCCTGACAGACACTGTGTGGAAATGTACTGGGATATATGTGTGTATATACAGTGTGTAGTTAAAAAATTTGGGGTCAATAAGAAATTAATACTTTTTTTTTTATTCAGCAAGGATGTAGTAAATTGATCAAAAAGTGACGGCAAGACTTGCATAGATTTCTGTTTCAAATAAATGCTGTACTTTTGAACTTTCTATTCATAAAAATGTATTGCAGTTTCCATAAAATATTACACTACTTATAACACAACTGTTTTCAATATTGATAATAATAAGAAAAGTTTCTTTAGCACCAAATCAGCATATTAGAATGATTTCTGCAGGACCATGTGACCGAACATTTATGTTACTATTTCTCAAGCCCTGCTATTCAGAATCCTGGTCAAGAGATGTTGAAAGTCTTGGAGGACACCTCCTACAGTTTGGAGGATCTAAAAAATCAAGAGGCACATCTACCACCAGAGGACAGTATGTACCATTTTCTCTGAGATTTTCTCTGGTCTGCACATATTGACAACAAATATTGAGTCTAATCTAGTGTAGTTTTTTCACTGCTTTTGCTGAAAGTGAATCTTCTCAATCACCCCCTGTAGGTGATGCGTGGTTAGACATCTCACCTCAGGAGCTGGAGAGACTGCTTGAGGAGAGAGGAGGTCGAGGGGTGAGCGATGGCACTCGCAAAACAGCACCTGATGAGGAGGTTCAGGAGGAAGAAGCTGGCTACAGTCTGATAGCTGTAACGCAAGGCATGAAGAACTTCATCAATGCCATGTCCTCTCATGAAGGAGCTGAAATACCCAGGTAATGATATTCCATCTGAATAATTGTCAATACTCCAGTTATTATTGTACCACCATGATAATTTATGTCTTTCTTTTTCACCGATTGTGTTTCAGATCTTGCCTGGCTGAGCCCTTCAGTTTTGATCCAGATGCAGTAACCAGTGCACTAGATGGACTGCTAGGTAAGTTTGATTTTCAGTGATATTAGACCATCTAAATCAATCCCGCTTTTGAAAAATATTTTAGTTAGACATTTTTTTTGTTAAAGCCAGTAAATTTTTTTTAAACTGAACACTGCAATTTTGTTTAGAAATCAAATGTATGCCTATTTTTATGCCCAATTTAATTGCCTGCACCAGTGGTTGACTGATATTGATTTTTTTTTATTGCCGATGCTGATATTTGCTGAAATCCGATGTATATGATATCACAGTTGAAAACAATAATTTGACCAGAAAAAAATAAAAATTAATTTGTAAAATAAACATTTATTCATATAGCAACTTCTTTATTCGGTCTATAATCCTATTATAATATTTTTAACAAATAAAGAAATTATTAAAAATATGAACCAACACTGTATGCGTATTTGCTGAATGCTGACGGTAGTTAAGAAAGTATTAAAACCTTTGCCTTTCTGTTACTAGTACTACTCTTTTTCCTTTGTTTAACAGTTCTGTTTAATATTTTTACTGAGACAGTAAATTAATGAAGGAAGAGAATTTGAGCTCTCCCACTTCTCATTCATTGGCCAAGTGGAAAAACCTTTTTTGCTGATGTCAGTAATTTAAAAAAAATGCTAAATATTAGCCGACGCATCAGTCTTGTGGATATATCGGTCAACTACTAATCTGCACTAACCAAAAAAGCACTAATAATTTGCACTTCATGTTTTACAGGAAGTAAGGATGATGAGTTAGACTCTGACGACTTTGAGGATGATGATGAAGAGGACGACAATGATGTCGACGAGGATGAAGAAGTGCAGAATGGCGAGCCTCGGGAGCAGGCAGGTGCAGAGGCACTGGACAATCTGAGGAAATACATGGATGAAATGGACCAGGAACTGCAAAGCACAAATATTGGCAGAAGTTTTACACAGAATAACAGAGTGAGTCTCCACAGATGTTGTTTATCATGTGCATGTAACCTTTTAAAAACTTTGTATCGGATTTATTTATTCTTCCCTTTCCTTATAGACCAGTAATACAGCAGATGCATCTGAAAGCTCATTGGCCGACGCAGGGTCAGAGCTTGTTGAGGAAGAAATCCAGCCTCTTGATGTGGATCTCAACCTGGTTTCAAATTTACTGGAGTCTCTCGCTTCTCAGGCAGGCCTTGCTGGGCCTGCATCTAACCTACTGCAGAGTCTTGGAATCCACATCCCACCTGATGCAGATCAGTCCTGATATGTCAAACTGAAGTGGGAAAAATCAGCTCACAGACTTATCACGCACTCAGCATTCCTTCACCTAGTGCACATCAGCAGTTCCTCTATCAGATGGCTATATTTATGGTGTTCTGCTCCACACCCAGTACTGAATTGTGAATTATTACATCCCAGCATTGGTGTTTCCTTTAACTCAGAGCACTTCCATAAAAAACCTAACTGGGAATTTCTTCTTTAAGAAATTGTTTATCATGTTGTTCTCAATGCAATATTACATTATCTTTTTGAATAAAAGTATTTTTCTGAGGTGTTTCGTTAATTACGATTACGTAATTTTTTTGGAGATTAATCAAAGCAATAAGTATGCACTACAACAGAAAGTATGAGCTACAGCTATCTATCAGAGAAAAAGAACGGATATTTCACAGTGCTTATCTACGCTGGCATTACTGATAAACTAAACAAACTGCATGCTCGTGTAACATTAACCAAGTCTTTACAGATAAATCAATCATGACTGATTAGGTGCAAAGCCTCAACGCTCTGATGCTGAACTTTTTTAACCTCGTGATTCTCACTCGGACAGACTTTGGCCTTTGCTGATAACTATACAAATAGATAGTAGGATCTTTTGTGATCTGTATCGGTGCGTTATGTACTGCTTCCAACATAAAGAAAAGGTGCTGGAAATGTCATAATTACATTTATACCAAAATATGACAAGAAAAACTGAAACACTTGGGAATTTGGTTTAGTAATGAGAAAGCCTCATCAATGTGTTTTATTTGCGCCAAACATTAACAATAATACTGTAGTTTGTACTGTATATTAGGAGCTAAATAAATACATGAGTCACAGGTTTTCTATTTGAACAAAATATATCACTACTTTAATAATCTTAAGTTGTTGTATTGCAGTTTATAGCTGTGATTTCTACAAACCATGCATTTTAACAGTGAAGGGCTCCTCTGGTCTAAGTTTGTAAGGTGAATGGCATACTTGGGTGAATCTCACAAAGCTTGTCAAGAACATGCTTATATCATATTTCACCCTCAAAAAACATATTTTGCATGAAAAATTACGCTATTTTTAGGGCCTTTAAGGTTTATTATTTTTGCATTTTGGAATTATTTTCATGACAATTAAGCGCATTCTACATTCTCATTACTGTAATGCGTCCGTACAGATACAGTAATTCATATTTTACTGTCTGACGTTTTAATAGACAACCATAACATCATTTTTGCATTGCCGTAATGAGAATTAAGAATTGTGGTGTAGGATATACCCTAAAGGTCCTTAAAAAGGCTTACACTTCTTTATGCAAAATATATAATTTTTTATAGCTGACACATAGAAATAATAATTTAGTCTGTACAAAAAAAGCTGGTCAGAGAAACCTGTATTTTACCTTTATAATTTAATTCCAGAACTTAAGTAGCTGCTCCTTCATGAAAACACCCCATTTGTAGGATGTCTTAGTTATGTCGTAGTTTCAGTGCAAGTGAAGAAAGGAGTCGCACATCAGTGCTTGCTGGTAGTATTACCATATTAATTATAATTATATATAATTATAATATATATATGAGGCTGTCATGCCTATAAATTAAGTTCTAATACTGTTATTATCAATCATGGTATCAGGTATCTGATTGGTTACTCTACATAGACTGTTCCTCTACAGAATGATCTACACTCTGACTGGTCCGTATGTCCTATAGCAGACTGAACAGGGGTAGAACCAGCCCTCTGGTCGCATGCAGCACGGCCGCTGGGAGAGCAGAAAAATACAGCGCCGTTACATCCACAAAGAGAAGCTGCACAGCACCCAGCAGTAACATCCCGAGCATGTATCCCAGAAACAGCAGACTGTGCCAGTTGCCATGAATCAGTGCCTTTGGTCCATCAGGGTGCAAAACACATAGGAACCCTAATAAGAGGGTACGTGTCACTGTCAGAGTGTAGTAAAGGTCAAAGGTCGAGGTATGGCCTCGCTCCGTTTGGGAGACTTTGGCTAGCCAGGCAAGAGAGAGGCTGTGGAGGACAAGGCTGAGGGGAGAGAAGACATACTCTAGCGGATCCATCGCATGAAGTCCTTTACATGCTGAAAAGACAAAAATAATTGCGATTGATGACATAAAAAAATGGCCTATTCCTCTTCACAGATATTTGAAGCAATCATGCACTGAAAATGTATGATGTAGAAACATTTTTTAATTTTAAATTGCTAGTAAATTTCACAGCAGAGTGCATTTTTTAGCACTGTTGGTTCCTTAAGTATTTTTTTGAGACATTTTGAGAGTATTCTTAAAGACCAGACAACTTTTAACAAACATTCTATTAACGATAATGCAGTTAATGTTTGTATAACTTTGAGAGAACCTTGTAAGAACATCAGTCATAGTTCTGAGAACGTTCCCTGTAAGGTGGGTAACAACTTCTGAGCTCACAACAGCTTTTTGTAAAGGTTTACACGTTAACATTTATATGTTATATGTTATCGTTTTTACCCGACTGTTGCAAAGAATGGTAAGTAACACATCAAATTAGGCATTAACAGTGTACCTGTGACGGTGACTGAGGCGAAAGTGAGCACAGTCAGAAGGCAGGAGACATGGATGGAGCCTGGTATACTCAGTGCAAACAGGTGACCCAAGCTCACACTGACCATTGGGAGGAAACGGGCGATTAGCGGGTACAGGCCAGAGTGGGAACAGGCTTCAGCCCATATGGCCAGAACACACTGGACGCTCCCACAGACCGCCGGCACAAACAAACGCTCGCCCAGCCTCAGTGAAAAAGGCTTCAGGTGGATCAGACCCACACCGTGCAAAGCTAGCAGTGCCAGGAGATTTAAAAATACCTGATGGGAAGGAAGCAAAAGCAAGAGGAAGTTCAACATGCTTAAAAACACACTGGAGATTAAAACTTGATACACAGTGCCATAAATGCCCAGAGAGTCATATACCACTAGACTTTTCATTGTGTACCTAAGAAAACCACTTTCAGAGGATAATGATGAACATAACAAATGATAACATGACATTTAAGCAGTAACAGCTGAATCACACTATTTTAAACAACATTTGACCATTTTTATGACTATTATACATGCAGTTTTATGACCACCCTTACCAAAATGTAGTATACTTCAAGTTTATTTTATTAAGTATACTTAAGTAAAGTTCAAGTATATTTTTAAGTATACTTTATGTAGTGAGTATACAAATATCAGTGTACTAGTAGTATACTTGTAAGTGTACTATTTCAATACTCTTTGGGACTAAATTGGCCCACTTTCTATACTATATAAAAGTATACTTTAAGTATAACAGTAGTAAACTTTGAGTACACTACTAGTTTACATCTATGTTTTTAGTTTGTACTGCAACTATACTAAAAGTGAACTTAGAGGTTTACTGATAGTTTACTAATTAAATACTTGTAGCATTTTTAGTACACTTTGAAGTATAGTCTCAGTAAACTACTAGTTTAGTAGTTTTATACTGCAAGTATACTCATAAGTTTTCTTTAAGTGAACTTTACATCATATTTTAAGTATACTACTATGTCCCTATTTAGGTATTCATTTGTATATATTTTGTTACATGAATATCACCCCAAACACCCCAAAGCTTGACAGTCATTATTACCTCTTCATTGGTAGACATTTTATTCCATAACGTTACACAGTTTTGATGCTGTTTTATGTCTGATGATCGTGTTAGAATACATGTGGAATCATCTGTTGTTTCAGTGTCTTCTTCACTTGTGTTTCTCGGATTTCTTCGGATTCTCGGAGCACAAGTATAGCTCAAATATATTTAGACTTTTTCTAAGTATAAGTCAAGGAATACATGTGGAATCATCTGTTGTTTCGGTTTCTTCTTCACTTGTGTTTCTCGGATTTCTTCGGATTCTCGGAGCATAAGTATAGCTCAAATATATTTAGACTTTTTCTAAGTATAAGTCAAGCAATACTTAAATGTCATTTTAAGTATATTTCTGAGAAGTACATAAAAAGTAGACTGAAAGTATACTTTCCTAGTTTTAGTTTAAAAGAAGTATACTAATAGCACACTTGAATAAACATATTTTTCGTAAGGGCACATTGAAATACACTGAATATTTTTTATACTGAATAAAAGTGAACTGCAAAAAAACAACCAAAAAAAGGGTGAACTTTTGAGAACTGTTGAACTGTCACACAAATCTGCTCTTTCCCTTATATATATACAGTAGAGCCAATGCAGACTGTGAGATTGCATAGAAAAACCTGGAAATAAACAAAGGTTTAAGATTTTAAAATGAATGATGAAACATTATATATATTTCACTAGTATTCTCAGTCTTTGACCTCACTGTAGACATACATTTTAACCTCAAATCTTCCATTTGTCAACTTCTGACATTCTGTTTGCATCTTAAACACATAGCCAGCCATAACATTCAAACACAAACAGTAAAACGACTCCACCGGTTTATAGTCCTAGTCACATGCAACGAACCTAATGATTCATCAGAGAGCTGCCCAGGCTTGTGCTTTACGCCCTAGAAACAATCTATGTACACACTGAGATATACTTAACACTGATCATATGATATATATGCAAATGACTCTTTACTCATTAATCCTGACATAATACACTTTGATATCTCATGTTTGAATGGGACATTTTCCACTGAATAGCAACTTGGCTGATAGAAATCTACTGTGTGACTTTAGAAAACATAGAATGTAGCAGAAGTTGTTATGTAGAATGTAGAAGCATGTAGAAGTTGTATGGACCATTTATATGCATTTTTTTTTTACCATATTAGAGCTTCCCTTTCATTTTCATTGTGTAAAACAGCAGCTTAAACATACTGCAAAATTTCTTTATGAGTGAATGACAGAATTTTGTATATTTGTTTAAGCTTTGCCTTAAAAAATCTCATCTTTTCAACTGAATTCAATTAGATACTTTAAAACCAGTCTTATTTTATTGAGATTTTATTTATAGTATCATTCAGATACTGCTATAGTTTCTATTAATATTTTAAATCAGTTTTTATTTTTATATTTTCCATTTTCATTTTGTTAAAATTTTAGTAATTTTGTTGTGTTTGTCATTTTAATTTTAATTTTTTTTATTTCAGTTTTAGTGATTTTATACATCATTTTTAAATAAATTAAAAATGATAAATATTGCTTTGGCAATTAGCTGAAATAATTTTTTAAAATTTATTTCAGTTAACTTTTTTTTTCCAAGTAACAAAAACTTTAATGGTTTTAGTTTTAGTTAACTACAGGTCCATCTCAATAAATTAGAATGTCGTGGAAAAGTTCATTGTTAATAATAGTAATAGAATAATAAAAATGAATGTATACAAATCATATATTCAACACAATTTGTTCTAGTACACATTATGACAAAACATAATTTTACCATTAGTTTTGACTAGTTATTTCTATTTATTTACTGAATAAATTGTCCAAAACCAAGACATGACACGACTATAAATGTCAATAAAAGCAGACAGGATGTGACGAACTGAATTTGGATGTGGCGTCCTACCTTCATATACTAAGAGTGACTAAACTTGAGTGACTCACCTTAACCATCACAGGATGCAACTTACGGTCGTTTTAGGTCATTCAAAGAATAGGGATCCTTTTATGTTATGCTTGAAAGTTAATATGGCTTCCAGTTTGACCTATGATAAAATGAATGCATTACAACAGTGTAAATAAAACATCCATTAGGTCCATGATTAATTACTAATAATATGACAAACATTTCTGTCTGAATATGTGCGTGCACACAAGAAAGTATTTTTGTGGCTAGCAGCTGGATCCACAGAATAAATGGAGAAATGTACTGAGGGCAAACAAGCACATTATATCCGTGACAGGTGGCTGAGAATCATGGAACAGACAGTCAATGCAACATTACCATGGCAACCCATAGTACTTATTAATCAGGTCAAATATCAGTGAGAACATACCAATATGGTGACATCATAGTACTGTGGAATGGCACGGTGATAGTGGGTCAATAATTGAAAAGACTTTCCCCCCCAAGTCATTATTTACTCACCCTTATGTCATTCCAAATATTCTAGAAAATGTTTTTCCCTGTATGAGATAAAACGTCGTTTATTCCTGTGATGGCAAAGTTGAATTTTCAGGACTTTTTGATCCTTCAGAAATCATTCTAATATTCTGATTTAGTGCTCAATTATTATCAATTATTGTTGGTGTTTAAATATTAATAATGGCTCTCATTATTATCAATGCTGAGAACTGTTTCCTGCTGCTTAATATTTTTGTGGAAACCGTGAAACATTCTTTGATGAATAGAAAATTCAAAAGAACAGCATTTTTTGAGATAGAAATCTTTTGTGACATTATAAATGTAGTTAATAATAGTAATAGAATAATTAAAATGAATGTATACAAATCATATATTCAACACAATTTGTTCTAGTACACATTATGACAAAACATAATTTTACCATTAGTTTTGACTAGTTATTTCTATTTATTTACTGAATAAATTGTCCAAAACCAAGACATGACACGACTATAAAGGTCAATAAAAGCAGACAGGATGTGACGAACTGAATTTGGATGTGGCGTCCTACCTTCATATACTAAGAGTGACTAAACTTGAGTGACTCACCTTAACCATCACAGGATGCAACTACGGTCGTTTTAGGTCATTCAAAGAATAGGGATCCTTTTATGTTATGCTTGAAAGTTAATATGGCTTCCAGTTTGACCTATGATAAAATGAATGCATTACAACAGTGTAAATAAAACATCCATTAGGTCCATGATTAATTACTAATAATACGACAAACATTTCTGTCTGAATATGTGCGTGCACACAAGAAAGTAGTTTTGTGGCTAGCAGCTGGATCCACAGAATAAATGGAGAAATGTACTGAGGGCAAACAAGCACATTATATCCGTGACAGGTGGCTGAGAATCATGGAACAGACAGTCAATGCAACATTACCATGGCAACCCATAGTACTTATTAATCAGGTCAAATATCAGTGAGAACATACCAATATGGTGACATCATAGTACTGTGGAATGGCACGGTGATAGTGGGTCAATAATTGAAAAGACTTTCCCCCCCAAGTCATTATTTACTCACCCTTATGTCATTCCAAATATTCTAGAAAATGTTTTTCCCTGTATGAGATAAAACGTCGTTTATTCCTGTGATGGCAAAGTTGAATTTTCAGGACTTTTTGATCCTTCAGAAATCATTCTAATATTCTGATTTAGTGCTCAATTATTATCAATTATTGTTGGTGTTTAAATATTAATAATGGCTCTCATTATTATCAATGCTGAGAACTGTTTCCTGCTGCTTAATATTTTTGTGGAAACCGTGAAACATTCTTTGATGAATAGAAAATTCAAAAGAACAGCATTTTTTGAGATAGAAATCTTTTGTGACATTATAAATGTCTTTATTGCCACATTTGATCAATTTAATGCATCCTTCTTGAATTCATTATTTTTCTTTTTTTTCTAAGCTTACTTAGCCCAAACTTTTGAATGGTATTGTATCACGATTTCCACAAAAAAGGGAAAAAAAAGAGAAAAGAAAACACAACTGTTTTCAACATTGATAATAATCAGAACTGCTTCTTGGGCACCAAATCAGCATATTAGAATGATTTCTGAAGGATCATGTGACACCGAAGACTGGAGTAATGGCTGCTGAAAATGTAACTTTGCACAGGAATAATTTACATTTTAAAATATATTAAAATAGAAAGCAATTTGTAATTATATTTTACAATTTTATATTTCTGTTGTCATTGCATTTTTGATCAAATAAATGCAGCGCTGGAGAGCAAAACGTCTTTAAAAAACATTTAAAAATTCATAATTATTCAAAATTTTGACTAGTAGTGTATTAAAGAATATTTTGCCCAGAGAAAGGTTTGGTTTGTTTAGATAAATAAACTATTTGTATTATATAAAAAATATATATGCATTTTGTTATTTGACTTTCATTCACAAGTGTCTCCGTGTGACACTCTGACCTGTCATGGCCAGCTCACCCCCTGCTCATGTAGAGCACTTCACTGTCCCGCATTACCCCGGCAACCCGCTGAAATAAGGACCTGACAAA